AAAAACTCGTACAATGTTTGATATTCTGTTTTGTCGTTTTATGTTTAGTTTTCATGTTGTTAGATTCCTAATTTTGTAGATAAATATAATCCACACTATGGAATACGGTTTCTTCTTTGTAAAAGTGGGCTACATTGTTTACGCTAAAACATTAAAAAGTAGCATTAGTGTCGAAGAGGCCATATTCGAGGCCCCGGACGGTATACATGAACTTGTAAACAACAGCGAAATGGAATAGTCTTTCGAACTTAAAGATGCGAGAGAGAAAAAACAATCAATCCCGTTCAGTTACAGGAAATAGGTTTGATTATTTGCGAGCTCTTGAGTTTTTAAGAAAAAATGTTTAAACTATTTTATATAAATTGGTATCGGTATTATTAGTGTGCACATAATTTTCCTTATACAAAGAACACTTTTAACATACATGGACAAAATCCGAAACATTTTGTTTTATTAAATTGACCCGTGCTATTCTTTGACACAGTAATATAAAATGTGAATTCGATTTTAATTGCCTCGCTTACGAAACCTGGTTTGAAATGTTATGTAAGTTATATTGCACCGCTTACACTTTTAGGCCATAAATCTGTATGTAATACTGTTGCATTTTGATGTATAATATATCAAATTAACAACATTCCATATAATAAGACATATCTCATTAAGAGCTGAAGGTTTATCGAAAGCTGTGCAAGGTGAAATTTCTTTCAGAAATTAAAAACCTTAGTTACATTAACATTTAATATTATAACAAAATATGTTTGGATTTTTCCCCTCCATATTAAAGCCTTGCTTTTCATTCTTCATATTCTATATTCTTAATGAATTTCATGTTGATATATGATATATTATATTACATTCTGGTACATGCTTTTTCGTTAACTCCTGCACAACGATCGACCTTTCTATTTCAAAATACGTTACCACAGTCATTATGATGCATATTCCAACCTTACTTGGCTCTTTACATACGTAAATAAAGAATTTTTACCCCCATGGGGAACCCCTGGGAAACCCACCAATCAGACGGCAGTATTCACGCACGTGATAAGACACGAAGCCATGCTTCCCACTTCACTTGACAAGGTTGTGATGGGGCCTAGGGAGCACTCTAAGTTGGAGCGTCTCCTTAGGCTGGCTCTCCATGTTCTGTCCTACGCAGACTGGTTTACTTCTGCGTTGCTGGCTGCGAGCTGCAAGTCGGTGGAGCAGCTCCCCAGCAAGGTTGGACTGATGGAGCGCCTCAGCCAGGCAATTTGCAAGGCACATCTTGATGCGATGGCCTTACTGTCGGCTGCCATGTCACACCTTGTTGTTGCCCGCCGGTTGTCGGTCCTTTCTGGACTGCCAGTCGGCGATTCCTATCGGGCTACCCTTTTGGAGGCTCCCTTGACTGGCGAGGATTTGTTTGGCGGGGTCCTTCCCTCAGTGCAATCTGAGATGAGGTTGGACCCGTTTGCATCTGAGGATGCACGCCACAATTCCGCAGGCAAGGGCGCTAGCAGGAAGAGGCAGGCTTCTGGCTCCTCCAGGCGTAGGAGGAAGAGGGCAAAGACGACTGCTTTTCAGCAGCAGTCTGCCCCTCCGACTTCCGCTCCGGCAGAACGTCGGAAATCTTCCTTCCGCGGTAGGGGTTCCCATAGGGGTCGAGGCAAAGGCAAAGTTTCCAGAGGTAGGAAGGGTTCCTGACTCTTCCTTGCCCTTGCAAACTCCTTGTCCACTGTCTGTGGCCGCTCCCACGTCCTTGGGCGCGGGAGGCTCCGCCGAGGTGGTTTGGGAAGGGCTAGATTGGCCCCTTCCGGACTTGCCAGTAGGCGGTCGGCTGTCCCATTTCGTTCCTCAGTGGAAAGAAATCACTTCAGACAGTTGGGCCCTAGGGGTTGTGTCCAAGGGTCTCTGCATCCCGCTTCTTCGGGATCCACCTCTGGCGCGAGAGCCTATCTTTTTCCCTTCTCCTTCCGATCCGGGAAAGGTGGAGGCTCTCAGGTCAGAGGTTCAAGCCATGATCGCGAAGGGCGCGATCGAAGAACTTTCACGGGACCAGTGGTCTCCAGGGTTTTACTCCCGGGTCTTCCTCGTGAAGAAGAAGTCCGGTGCCTGGAGGCCTATTATCGACCTCAGTACGTTCAACACGTATGTCGATTCCCCGCACTTCCAGATGGAAACGCCACGGCGCATCATTGCGTCAGTGCGTCCAGGGATGTGGGCTACGTCCATCGATCTGAAGGATGCTTACTTTCACATCCCGGTCAGGAGGTCGGCCAGGAAGTTCCTCAGGTTCACTTTCGAGCAGAAGGTTTACCAGTTTCGCGCTATGCCCTTCGGCCTCACTACGGCCCCCTTGGTTTTCACCAAGTTGTTGCAGGTAGTAGTGGGGCACCTCCACAGTCTCGGGGTAGATGCACACATCTACTTCGACGACTCCCTGTTGCTCCAAGTGGATCCAGTTATCCTGTCCCGGAGCACGAGGTCGGTTCTGGGCGTTCTGTGCCGCCTAGGGTTCATCCCTTCCAGGGAGAAGTCGGAGGTTCTCCCCTCTCAAGATTTTGTTTTCCTCGGTTATCGGTTCAGAACCGATCTGGGGTTTGTCCTTCCACCAGTGTCCAAGTTCGAGAAGGCCTCTCTGTTGGTCTCCGTTCTGGTCGGTGTGGAGCGAATTCAGGTCCGATGGTTCCTTCGGTTCCTCGGTTACCTGAATTCATTGGCGGATGTGGTTCCCTTGGGTCGGCTTCACATCCGTCCGCTCCAGCTGTTCCTTCTGTCAGTTTGGTCTCCGGCGTCTCGACAGTGGGATGTGTACATTCCTCTGCCGGAGTCGGTGAAGGAATCAGCTCGTTGGTGGACTCTCAAGAGCAATGTCTTGGCAGGAGTTCCTCTGGTTCGGGCATCTCCTGCTATGACCCTTTACACCGACGCGTCCATGACCGGTTGGGGTGCATACCTTTCCGGTCAGACGTCGGCGGGGGTGTGGTCAGGGGAACAGCTTTCAGAACACATCAATGTTCTGGAAATGCGTGCTGTTCTGTTGGCCCTTCGGGGTCTTCGACCCTCCCTGCAGGGCAAGGCCATTTGTCTGGCGACAGACAACTCCACTGTGGTGGCTTATCTGCAGCGTCAGGAGGAACCCGTTCCCCGGCTCTGTGTGCTTTATCCACCCAGGTCCTGTTGCTGTGTCAGGAGATCAGTCTCGATCTCACGGTGAGGCACCTTCCAGGTCGTCTGAATGTTCTGGCCGACACTCTGTCTCGGTCTCGGAGCCCGGTTCTCACCGAATGGACCCTCAAGCGTTCGGTGTTCCGGTCTCTTTGCCTGGTTTGGGACAGACCCCATGTGGATCTGTTCGCCACGACCCTGAACTTTCGACTCCCTATGTTTGTGTCTCCGGTTCCAGACCCTATGGCCATGGCGGTGGATGCTCTATCCCAGGACTGGTCGGGAATGTACGCGTATGCGTTTCCTCCCTTCAATCTGGTGGGCAGGGTGTTGGAGAAGATTCTTCTACACCCTTGTACTGTATTGCTGGCTGCACCGCTCTGGCCTGGACAACCTTGGTTTCCTCTGTTGCTTCGGCTGTCGGTGGACTTCCCGCGCACCCCTGTGGGATCTGCTGTCTCAACCGAGGTCCCGGCAGTTCTACTCGGGACCAGAACGGCTCCACCTTCACGGTTGGCTGCTATCTCGGGAAGGCTCACTCAGACGGGCTTTTCTCGAGAAGTTGCAACTCGCATAGCAGGATCACTTAGACCTTCGTCTTCCGCCGTCTACCAATCTCGATGGTCCGCCTTCGGTGATTGGTGTGTCGGACGGTCGATTGATCCAGTCTCTGCCTCTGTTCCCGTTGTAGCCGAATTTCTTTTGTCTCTGTTCCAGGACAAAGGTCTGTCTCCAGGAACTATTGCAGGCTATCGTTCAGCCATTGCTAGTGTGCTGGCTTTCTATGGTAGCAAGTCTGTGGGCTCGGACGCTTCATTGTCTGCTCTCCTTAGGGGCTTCTACATTGAGAAGCCTCGTTCACGGCAATTAGTCCCTAGGTGGAATTTAGCACTTGTGCTAGATTCCTTGTTAAGAGCGCCATTCGAGCCCCTCCAGTCGACGGATCGGAAGTTTCTTACTTTCAAGACTGTGTTCTTGATAGCCTTTGCTTCCGGTCGCCGCAGAAGCGAGATTCATGCTTTCAGCAGATCTCCTTCTGCCTTCGTTTTTCGGCTGGCCATTCTTCGGTCTCAGTGACCACTGAACCCATTTTTAGCTAAGAACCAGGTTCCCGGTTTCACCCCAGGGCTTGTGGTTATCCCTTCTTTGGCTTCAACTCTGGATGGGGACAGAACAGAGGGGGGGGGGAGGACACTCGTCTCGGCTGTTCTGGTCTCTCCAGTCCTTGCGGGTGTCAGGGGTTAGGGCTCATGAGGTTCGCGCTTTAGCTACTTTGTGGGCCTTATGTAATAGTTCTTCTTACGCTGAGGTCATGACAGATGCTGTTTGGAGGGGTCATTCTACGCTTACGGAGTTCTATCTCCGATCTTTGTCGGCACAGTCTGACGGGTTGTATTCTTTGGGCCCTCTTGTGGCTGCCCAGTCCGTTGTCTGTCCTCCCTCTTCTTTTGCATAAGCCTAATTATGTCTTCTCCGCGTGACCCGGAACGCTGGTCGTAATCAGGCTCTGTGTCACAAAAGAAAAGGTATTTTGAATTTTTCCTCCGGGGGTATGGGTCCTATTGTTGGAACCCTTCATCGCTCCACGGAGACACCACTGCGGTAAGTAGAATTCGCATTATAATGACTGTGGTAACGTATTTTGAAATAGAATTGAGGTTTCTCTTGTGAAACCAATTTCTATTAAAAATACTTACCACAGTCATTAGGTGAGTTCCCTCCCAGCCTCCCCTTGTCTCCTTTGCTCTCACTTTTTTGGGCTTTGGGATTATGAAGTGGGAAGCATGGCTTCGTGTCTTATCACGTGCGTGAATACTGCCGTCTGATTGGTGGGTTTCCCAGGGGTTCCCCATGCCGGGGGGGGGGGGATTCTTTATTTACGTATGTAAAGAGCCAAGTAAGGTTGGAATATGCATTATAATGACTGTTGTAAGTATTTATAATAGAAATTGGTTTCACAAGAGAAACCTCAAATTTTTATCAGCTTGTATAGACGCCTTAACAATAGCCAATGGATTGTTCCGTTACATACATGGAAGTCGGCTTACGTATGTTACTGCGTACGCTCAGTAAGAATCATTTTTGGTACAGTTACATGTCTGTGTACGTATGAAGACTAGTCAACATCTTGTTTTAGTTTCGTCCATGTTGAATTTGTTTTTTTATTGTTCAGTAACTCCGTACAAATGTCAATAACCTTTTTATTGTCTCGCTTACGAAACCTGGTTTGAAATGTTATGCCAGTTAAGGTGCACTGCTTACACTTTAAGGCCATACATCTTTATGCAATGCTGTAGTATTTTTATGTGTAATATTTCAAAATGCTTAATGTCAACTGAAAGCTGCGCAAGTTTGAAGTCTCTACAGAAAACTAAAATCCGACGCATATATGCCCTTAATAATAATCTACTTGTTAAGCATTATATAAGTAAAACTTCTGTTCAACAAGCACGTAAATAAAAAGGGGTGCATGGTTTGTCTTCATACATACACAGACATGTTGCTTTATTAAAAACGATTCTTGTTAAAGCGTACGCAGTAACATACGTAAGCGAGACTGGTCACTTATCACTATTGTTCAATCTAACGCATAGTTGCAGGTTTTTGGCAGTGTCATAGACAATTAACCACACATTAAGCATTACATCAATAAAATCTCAGTTCAACAAGCACGTAAATAAACATGAGACCCAGAGAGCCTGTATCGCTCACCTGGATATCTTAGCAATCATGAGATTCAAGGGAATAGGCCAGACCCAAGGCCAACCTTGTAGCATATCTTAATTAGGTTTTTCATGCCCAGCTATTTTATGTATGGTTATGGTGTGGTGATCTCAACTGTTTCCAAGCTGTGACTCAGAACCTATGTCCCTAGGGTTGTGGCAAGACCCCAGGATCAATTATAATATCATGACTGCATTCGTCTCTTTATGCCCAGCATTTGTATATATAGTTTTTGGGTGGGGATCTCAACCGTTTCAAAGTTATGACCCAGGGTTAAGTCTGCAAGGGTGGGGCAGACCCTGAGGTCAATTCTAATATCATGACAGCATTCGTCTCTTTATGCCCAGTATTTGTATATACAGTTTTGGGATGGGGATCTCAACCATTTCAAAGTTATGACCCAGGGACTATGTCTCCAAGGGTGGGGCCAGACCCCAGAACCATCCTGGAAGCAAATGTGCATTCTTTCTCTTTATACTTAGCAATTGTATATATGGTTATACGGTGGGGATCTCCACCATTTCCAAGTAATACACTTTTTTGGGCCCACCCCTTAGCCCGGGAGGTCAACCCCACCATCTGTACAATTTTGAATCCCCGCCTCCCATGAATGCTTCTTACCATTAAGATGTATATCCAGTGCAAAGGTATACATAAGAACTCGTTTATAGCAATACAGCCGAATTGCCCACTTTTGGCCCCGTCCCTCAGCCCTGGGGGTCACCTCACCATTTGTACAATTTTGAATCCCTGCCACCTAGGGATGCTTCCAGACAAATATGGTTGATATCCATCTCGTAGTTCCAGAGAGGAAGTCGCTTAAAGCAATATGGCCAAATAATCCTTTTTGTCCCCGCTTCTCAGCCCCACCATTTGTACAATTTTGAATCCCCGCCTCCCATGAATGCTTCCGACCAAATATGATTGATATCCATTGCTTAGTTCTACAGAAGAAGTCGTTAATAGCAATATAGCCAAACTGCCCACGTTTGGCCCCGCCTCTCAGCCCCACCATTTGTACTATTTTGAATCCCCACCACCAAGGTATGCTTCCAGTAAAATTTAGTTAAATTCCAATCAGTGGTTAAGAAGAAGAAGTCGTTTGAAGAAATTGTTGACGCACGGACGACGGACGCCACGGTATGGCATAAGCTCACATTGGTCCGTCGGGCTCGGTGAGCTAAAAAGGATGCATGGTTAGTCTTCGTGTAAATAGAGATTGATTCTATTTAAAGCGGAGGCAGTAACATAACTAAGACTAATCACTATACATGTGTCCGCAGAAATATAATGAAACCATCTATTGGTTATTGTTAAGGCGTTAGTACACATACACTGAAAAGCACGAGATCGAATCATTGTGCAGGAGCTCACGTGAAAAACATGTACAAGACTTCCGGGGGGGGGGGGGATCCTTTATCAGATAATTTCATTATATTTAGTAATAAGTTCCTCCCGCCAATAAACACACCCACACACCTAGAATTATTCCATTATAGCGCTATCTAATAAAGCTTTTAGATATAATGCAGTTTCATCATCGAGATCGGCGAAAATTAATGACAAATAAAAATGTAAATGAACGTTTCCTTAAATAAATAACCTTTTTAAATGACATTCACCGCCAGAGCTTTTCTCATAACATTTCGCTTCAAATGAATTACGATGACACTGTCGAATGGAGTAATTTATCAAGCGCTAATATCTACATGTATGAGGTTTTGCATGGTCGTCGGCTTTGTGTTATATATATATATACGCAGTGGTGTGGGTCACGTTTTTTCATAACCTACTGCCACTTCGTAATATTAATCAATTGAAAACGTGGTGATTGAATGTGATTGATATCCGTTAAAGAGTCAATTAACTAATGAGATTGGACAGGAATCTCTGCTTTTTGTAAGGAACTTGAAATCAAATTTGATTTATTGCTTTTCAATTTATGACGGAAAACTGTATTTCAAACGATTCGACATAAAACGTTGTATGTAATGTAAGTTTATGGTGATTGGTTAGTTTGGTTTAGTATTGTTTAACGTCCTATCAACATCTATAGTCATGTAAGGACGGCCTCCCTTGTGTGCAAGATGCATGCGTGTAGTGTATAGCGCGGAACAGATGCCGACTTTATAGTGCTACCTCACTGAAACATACTGCCGAAGACACCCAGCAGGACACCCCATTCGGTCACATTATACTGACAACGGGCGAACCAATCGTCCCACTCCCAAATTGTTGAGCGTTAAGAAGGAGTAGAAACTACCACTTTTACAGACTCTGGTATGTCTCGGCCGGGGGCAGAACCCAAAGCCTTCCTCACAGGGGCGTTGTCAACGGAGACATTAGGAAGAAGAAAGTTGTTTAGAAAGAAGAGAAAAGATAAGATCCTAAATTTACGCCCTACGTGCCCTTGATGTTATGTTACACTTAATATTTATGGAAGCGATTGTTCATGCACTTTAAGCGATGAACCATACAATATAGACATGATAACACACTTAACTAACTTAATTCCCTGTTAAGTTACGGTTGATGATTAAGTGTTTAATAAAACGAAACAACTGCCAAATAATTTGAAACATTTAACATTTTTATTGCTTGACGGCTTTCAAAAATATCGTGCGTAAAATGATATATACTATTTTAGTTAAAATACATCCCGTCTACAGTTGCTTGCAACAACTGACGCCTCCCCATCAAATGTGTGGGAATGGTACACTTCTGTTACTTATTTACCAGCCAAAAAAATAAATCTGAACTAGTTCAATAACGTTGTATACGGGAGGGGATCCTCTGACTCCAGTTATTAATACATTAACGTACAAGTAGCAGTATCACTTTATTAAACATGTTTGTATTGATGAGTAATATGTCAGCCTCGGGTAAGTAACGTTGACTCTAAGCATCGTAGTAAAAGATAAGTGATCCGGTCCTATTTCCTGAGATAGATTTCGGAACATAAACTCGATATACAATGATTTGTCGTCGGCTCTACTAGTTGTTCAAGCAAACCGCTGTCCAAATTCTTACCATCGTCACATTGCATTATCTTATTTTCTTATATCAAGAACTTTCTTATTGAAAACTGGTTTAGTTTAATTTTATTTAACGTGTTATTAACAGCATATTTAAGGACGTGCCGTCTGATGTATGCGTGCAGTTTTGTGTAAGTGTTGGTGGCGGTAAAATGAATGTTGGCATATCTGCCTATTTGTGATAGCGTGGATCTGATGCCGACTTGAGGGTGCTTCGTCACTAAAACAACCTGCCGAAGCACGGCATTCCACCCGGTCGCATTATCTGACAATGGGTGAATCATTTGTTGTGATAACCATACATTCTTAACGTTAAGGTTTGACTAACTAACACTTTAATGAGTTTTGTATCTCCCGAAGAAGTGTCTATTCAAACCCTGTTCAATGGTGTATATATGTTTGATTGGAGTTTGGTACTCCTATCCTGTACCATTACTCACGATTTGTGGTATGAGTTTTCGTTTTTTAATTGTAAGTCACCCACCGGTTCCCGCGGGTGGGGGGACTATAGGTTTGCTATCCGTCCTTCCTTCCTTCAAAAAAGTTTGTCCGGGACATTTCTTCTATACTATTTCACCTGAAGTAACCAGATTTGGCGTACAAGGACATTTTGGGATGGCGGAGTGTAGAGTACAAGAAGAATGTCATTCATGACCTCACTGTTACATAATTATGCTTTGACCTTTGACCTCAACTTTTGAAAACGTATGTCCGGGGCATCTATTTTATACTATTTCACCTACATATA